CTTCATCAGAATCAAGCAAGTCGGATTCCTCCTCGTCGTCTTCTTCTTCTTCTTCCAAAGGGAAGGTGGATACGTCACGGGCTTCTTCTTCCAAGGGTAAGGTGGATACGTCACGGGCTTCTTCTTCCAAGGGTAAGGTGGATGCGTCACGGTGGGATTCAGACTGGCACGATGTTTGGGCTATGGTGAGCTCCTTAGCAGAATCGGCCGGTGCATCCGCCAAAAGGCAGCGCATCGTCAAACAGCTTTTTCGCACAGTGGAGCAATCCAAGAAGGCTTGGGATGATGCTGAGTGATCAGTACATAGATACCCAGAGGTGGCGGGTGCATCGACAGGCTAGCAGCATATGAAAATAAGCGGTGCTTTTGACGCAGCTCTGCTTCTTCCACATGCGTGCCGTTACATGAATGCGCCCTGCAATGTGCATGTTGCAGCTTTCTGTTTCGAAGAAATATAACAACATGTTCGCAGTAAATTGACACCACAAAGACACGTTTATAAAAGCACGGGCTGTTTATAAACGCATAGACACCAAGCCGCCCGCCCTGCTTTCCTCTGTCGCCGTCATGTCTCATCCACCTTCTGCCTACATCAGAGCCACGGAGGTTAAGTCGCTCGTCTTTGCCGAACTCAGTACACCCATGTTCATTCGACAAGAACAAACAAGCGGACAGATCCAGGACATACCCTTCAAGGAGCTGACCAACCAAGCCCGCGTGAAGATTCTCATAGAAGTCGTGAAAGATGTTCACCAAGACTCTGTGAATTTTGATCATCTTCAGGCTCGTATGTCGGAGAACGACTACTTGAACATGCCAGCCCCATTTCGCTCCAAGATGAACCTGAGGACTGATTACAAGATGCAGATTGCTGTGGTGAAAACTGGCGAATCCCTTTTCACAGTCTTGAAGCACTACACCTTCGAATCCAAAACCCCTTCGCTCAAAAACGTGCAGGATATGGTGTACGGCGAGCCATATCTCATCGACTTTTCACCTTGCTACAAGTATGGCCCGCTTGCTCTCCAGCTTATGTTGGAACGCATGTCGACCTGGATGGCAAGCCGAAGGAGGAAAAGAGGCGGGAGCCCAGTGACCTTCAGGTGGGGTTCGACTACAGACGAAAGCATGGCCCCAGGACCAACATCGGCAATCAACAGACTGAATGGGCCGAAATCGAGGTCAACAGGTCCCAAGCTCCCCTGACTGGCTGGTCGTCCGGGTTGGTCAAGGAATGTCTTCGGGGGCACTCCAACTCCGTCGTCTTCTCCACCCCAATCACTGACTACCTGACCCTGCACGACGTGGCGGGCTGGTTCCTTGATGATGTGTTGATGGAGATTCTTGGGGACCTGCAGAGCAAGACGCTAGTCTTCATGGGGCCCCAGTGGCAGAGGCCATTTCCATGGCCCTTAGCGAGTACTACATCTTGAAGGAAAACATAAACGCACACCCCTCTTTCAGACTCTGCAGTTCACTTGACCAACTCAGGGGAGAGTCCGGTTGCAAAGAGAGACCGGACATTCTCGACGACCCCGACACCTCCCAGGTACCAATCTCCAAGTTGAAGAGCTTCCTTGACTCGACTTTGGTAGAGACACACACAGTGGAACGGTGGACCGCCTCACGCTTCGTCCAACACCAGCTAAGGATCATTTGTGACAACCGCGTCAATGAGGATGCCGAGCCCCAAGATGAGGACCTGACCGACGCCGACAAGGTTATGAAGCGCTTGCCGGGCCGCACACTTCACGGTGTCGAGAAGGTTTCCAAGACATCTCCTATGCTCATCAACAAAAAACCAGCTTCACGCCTCATGAAAAAGCCGTCTTCCGTGTTCAAGAAACCATCGGGTTCACCGAAGAAAAAGCCTGCGTCCACTCGAGCACCAGCAAAACGGTTGAAGTCCAAGGCTGCCAGCCTGAAGAAGAACGGCGCATGGCTCTGGTTGGGAGTTTGCGTAGGCAACAAGAAGAAGAACTTCATCCACGACAACAAGCAGAAGAAAGTCACACACAGGCTTCTCCCTTCATCAACCAAGGCAATGAAAAACAAGCCACGTGGTTTTGAGGAGATCCAGGACACCGTCCAATCCCACGTGGCAAAAGGCTCCTACTTGATCTTCGATGGGTGGACCTCAACCCTCAAGGCCGTGGAAGCACTGGGTTATCATCACGCACCACCAGTAAAACACGAGAAGCACTTCAGAGACCCCCAAACCGGCTTCCACACGAACGATTCTGAGTCAGAAAACAACAGATTGAAGAAGTGGTCCAGAATGCGGCACAACAAGCTTCAACTAAACACGTGTGAGATGGACGAGTATATCTTCTACATCAATGTGGGAAGCAGCATGTCTGCTGTGTTTCACGGGTTAACCATGGCGAATGGTGGACCTTGCAAGAACAAGTTGTTAAAGCTAGACTGAGAGGGGCATATCAGCGCAGAGTGGGGAAACTCGAGCTCAAAAGCGTGCATGCTTTTGTAAAAGCGCATGTCATCTGGATCTTTCACACTTGCTGAACATCCAAGTTGCCTACATCTTGTACATCCTCATTCAGCCAACCTGGGTTTGGGCGTGTATGGTGGTGGGGTTTTTAGATGTTTGATGAGGCTGCGTTTATAAGCAATGGCTGTGTATAAACAGGGGCTGTGTTTATAAACAGTAGCTGTGTTTATAGACGGGGCTGTGCCATTAGGCCACTGTATTAAGACACTGAAACAATGCCTACTGTATGAAAACACTGACTAAGCGCCGGGGGGGGGGGGATAGGCGGCAGCCCATAATATTATATATATATATATATGCTTCCCCCCCCCCCCCCCCCCCCCAGAGATCTACCCTTTTTGAATGCTTTTACTATCCAGAATCCCTTCCGATCTAGTCCGTCGCAACAAGAGCTAGCCGATCCTGCACCAACCCAAGACACCGAACTGGCAATTAAGAGGGAAATAGTGAAAAGGTCTTTGCTCACAGTATTCTCGCGTCCCTGAGGCTTACAGTACATGATTTTTCCGCATCACCTTTTGTGCTCGAAGACTTCCTAGTCTTATGGCCTAGTCTTATGGTTCGAGGATCTCCATTATCTGTATTTCATATGCAATACATATACCCTTTATACATTCATGCAGTGGGTACTTATTCTACTTTTCCTTTGCGTTTCCACAGGAGGCGAGGCCTACAAACATAGGCAGAACTCTATGGGATTTACGGTTTGGATTTAGGCCTCAAGGCCTAGGGGTATAAGGTGCTAATCCTCTAGGCTTTTGCCTATTCGGGGTAGCCCTATAGGGTTTTAACCCTATAGGGGTTCAAGGTTCAGGGTTTTAAGGTTTAGGGCATTGCAACAACCCAACCCTAAACCCTCAAGGATTGAACCCCTTTACTGTTATCCTTAAGCCTTAAAGCATATAGGGTTTAGCGTTATAACGCTGAAGAACCCTCAGGGATTTAACCCCTTTACAGCTTTCCTTAAGGCTGAAAGCATATACGGTTTAGGGTTATAACGCTGAAGAACCCTCAGGGGTTTAACCCCTGTACTGTTTTCCTTAAGCCTTAAGGCATATAGGGTGTAGGGTTATCACGCTGAAGGTATAATTGCCCAGACCTTAGGTACATCAGGCTTAGGCATTAAAACCTTTAAGCCCTATAAGGTTGTTAAAGGTTTAAGGTCAAGCCTTAAACTTAACCCTATAGGGCCCTATAGGGTTACGGTTTTTTCAGGGTTTATCAACCCTAAACGCTATGAGGGGTTAAAGGTTTAGGGTTTAAGGTTCAGGGCATTGCAAAAACATAACCTCAACCTTTAAACCTATAGCGTTTCAAGGTAAGCTATTCGGTTTAAATACCTAACCCTACAGGGATTAAGGCTTAAACCAGTTTGAATGCCCAAACCTAGGTCTCAATCCCCAGACCTTAAACCTTAAAAAAAACCCTTATAGGGCTTCAAGGGTTCAATGCCTAAACCTGATGTACCCAAGGTCTGGGCATTTATACTTTCAGCGCCTGTGGGCTGAACACCCTTGAACCTTTTAGACCCCTAGAGGGTTTAGGGCTCATGTTTTCATACCTAAACCTTAAACCCTTGAGGTTTAAGCTCTATGGGCTTAGCTTGAAATGACGAAATCTTGAGCCCTAAGCCTTGAAACCTTAACCCTATAGGGTTTAAAGGTCGAGAGTTTAGGCTGAACTACCGGCTCAAGTTTGAATGCCTAAATCGTAAACCCTAAACCTTAAAAGGTTTAGTTTTAATTGCCGGCTCAGGTTCTAATGCCTCAACCTGAAGCCCTAAACCTTCAAACCTTAGCCCTATGGGGTTCCGTGAGTTTTGAACTTCAATCTAGAGTTTTGAGCTTCAAAACTCCGGGATCCAAGATTCAAGATTCAAGATTGCAGGCAAAGTTTCCACGGGATCTTGAATCCTGGAACCCGGAGTTTTGAAGTTCAACAATTGAAACGTTCCGTTTCAATTCAAACGGCCGGGATCCAAAATCAAAAATCTAACATTTCTCAGAACTATTGCTGAGGCATCTTGGAATCCTAGGTCTCGAAAACCGGGCGTCTCAATTGAAACGTTTCCGTTTCAATTGAAACTGCCGGGGTTCAAGATCCAAGATCCAAGATTTCGCAGGACTCTTGCCAGGACATCTTGGAATCCTAAATCCAAAACCGGCCGTTTCAATTGAAACGGAAACATGTCAATTGAAACGGGCAGAATCCAAGATATGGGATTCCAAGATGCCTCGGCAAGACAGTCCTGGGAAATCTTGGATCTTGGATCTTGGATCCCGGCCGTTTCAATTGAAACGGAAACGTTATATATATATGTATGTATATATATATATAGATAATTGCCATCTTACGCTATGACAGGCTGCTAAACCCTTAACCCTAAACCCTACACCCCACACCCTTAACCCCAAACCCGAAACCCCAAACCCTGAACCCCAAAACCTGAACCTTAAACCCTAACCCTAAACCCTAAACCGTGAAAGATCAGGAGCTCTTCAGCCTGGCGTCGCGGCGCCTCGCGGAGTCCTCCCCGCAGCTCGATGCGAGGCAGCTGGCCCTGGTGGCGACGCTTCGGCCGTGATTGTTCGGGTTGAGTTTAGGGTTTTAGGGTTTTTGGGTTTAGGGTTTAGGGTGGACAGGAACACCCAAGCAACTGCAGCACCCTTCAAACCTGAACCTCCAGCCCTCAATCCCAACTCGCCGCAAGAATTCCCAGCACTGATTTTCTTCTCAACATGCTTGCGCCTACTCAAGCCCGTCACGAACGGTGAGCCCTGGGATGTTACCCCTTATACTGCCAGTCCTATATAGGGATTATATAAGGGGGGTACAATAGTCCCAATTAAGAACTGCTATTATATCGGGGGAGCATCCCAAAGTGAGCCCTTTGTCCACAAGTCAAGTCAGGAATGCCTTCGTCCGGTCGGGGCATGAGGACCGCAGCCTTTTCCGTCGCCTACTGAAGCAGGCCGAGGGACTTCCTAAGGGTTCTTTTTTAGTTTGTTTTTTGTGTTTTTTGTTTTTTGAGTTTTTGTTGTGGAGGGGGGGGGAGGGGGATTAGGGTCTAGCGTTTAGGGTTTAGGGCTTAGGGTTTAGGGTGTAATGTTGAGATAGCACCAATAATGCGGGTGCGAATGGCGGGAACTATTTCGGCCGGGATTCTGGCCTAAAAGTTCGTTCCATGAACGATTTCCATTACGTGAGGTTGTTGGGAGCCTGAAACCCCATTTTGGGTGGGGTGGTAGTCCAAAAAAGCGGTGGCAATAGTGGAAGGGTTCCCGGAAAAAATCCCAAATATGCTTCCGAGAGAACTCCTGTTGCAAACTCTTTCAATCGAGGCAGAGACCGTACGGCTGAGAGTGCTACCTGCTGAGGCAATCCTCTGGCTCAGAAATCCTGATCTTCGCGGCCAACCGAAAAGCATCGATTCCTTCTTAAACACCTTTGAGAAGAAACAACCCCAAACAAATCCGCCAAGGCTACCCCTTACGAGGCCTCCAAATCGTAATAATAAAGGGTGTCATTAAAAAAGTCCGGCGAGTGGGCCCCCCCCTCCCCCCCCCCCTCCCCCTCCCCCCCCCCTTTTGCCTATTAGCACCCGGACCCTTTCAAAGTTTTGTTTGGACCCAGCGCCGGAACAAATCCGGGGGGGGGGGGGGGGATATGAAAGCGACCTTAACATTAGGGTTTAGGGTTTAGGGTTTAGGGTTTAGCATGGCTGTGCTCCTAGAGTTTGGGGTTTTGGGGCTTGGGGTTTAGGGTGTTGGGTTTAGGGCGTAGGGTTCAGGGTGTGTAGGGTTTAGGGCTTGGGATTTCGGCTTGGGCCAGTGGTTTGGCAAGTGGCAGCGGAGTGTATAGGAACTGTTATTTAACCAGGAGCTCGTCCTGGTCGGGATGATTTCATAAGCCTAAATGTGGGGAAGGTTTATGGGCCCTTACTCTCTGTCATAGTAGGGTACCATTTTACACTACACGTTATAAGGAATAACAAATTATATTTTTATTATTATCCCAACCATGAACTAGTAATATGGTCCCTTACCTCCTTCAAAGGGTTCTGGAAATATGGGCCCTTGGGTTATATAGGGTATATCAGGGGCATATAAGGGGCCCCCTGTTCAGGGCCCATATTCAGGGACCATGAAACTGCCCTTAAACCCTAAACCCTGAACCCTAAACCCTTAACCCTGTGTTGAACGGCTGGTGCTTCCACGTTGGGCAGGTTCCGCGGCAGCTCGCCCGCTGCACCGCGAAGGACTGTCTTTGAGGTGTTCGGGCTTCGTGTTTCTGGTTTTGGGCTTGAGGGTTAGGGTTTAGGGTTTAGAGTTTAGGGTTTAGGGTTTAGGCTTTAGGGTTTAGGGTTTAGGGTTGACGATTTAGGGTTTTTTACCTGAGGCTTCGGGCTCAGGATGTTTAAGCGGTTAAGGGACTGAGACTCGTACCCCGAGGAATATGTCCCTTATATTCCCTTAGGGATCCTGAAAAAGGGTCCCCAAGACTCAAAGGTATAATCCCTAGAGATGTGGGTTAATGCATGCACTTTTGTGAACTACCTCGAAGCAGCTCCTTGGAGACAAACTTCCTTTAAATGGATTTCTTGGCCAAGCCTGTGACAGCAAAGACTTCTGGCGAGCAAAGGCCGGAGAGTGCCCTTTTCTTGCTTTGCCTAGTAGCTGAACACCATGGAAACACCAAGCCCTAGGCCCTAAACCCTACAATGTGCTGGGCTGCCCAAGTCAGGCTTTTCGGAAGTGCTGGGCAAGGCGTGACAAGCAATCATCGACTTGATGCAAGGTGTAAAGTTTCTTAAATCGTTCGAACTAACCTTCCTGTTGTGAAAGGCGTAGGGCTCAGGGCTTAGGGTTTCCGAGAGCTGAATTACAAAATGTTTTGGAACGCTTCCTTCGCTGGTGACCCGATGTGTTGCAGGATGCGGCAATCCTTCTGAATGCTCGAACGCCCAGCAGGGTGTTGAGGATGTAGGATGGGTTTGGGCTTTGGTTGCTTTTGGGTGCGAAGTGGGGGTTTAGGGTTTAGGGTTTAGGGTTTAGGGTTTACGGTTTAGGGATTAGGATCCCCCTATAATAGGGACCCCAATACGGTACCCCCTAATTTCGTAAACCCCCCCAAGTATGCAATGAAGGAGTCATGAGCCGTCCCGCCAGGATATCAAACTTGGCCTTCTCTTCGGGGGTTGGGGTTGAGGGTAGCCCTAAACCCTAAACCCTAAACCCTAAACCCCAAACCCTAAACCCTAAACCCTAAACCCTGAACCCTGAACCCTGAACCCTAAACCCTAAACCCCAAACCCAGGCTACAGGCTGTGCAGTCACTGGTGAGACGAAGAGAAGTTTTGACCAAGGGCGCAGCGGATGCCCATGCCTGCAACAGGGCTCAGGGTTTAAGTTATTCAGGGTTAAGGGTTTAGTGTTTAGGGTTTGGGGTTTAGGGCTTAGGGTTTTTGGTTTTTGGTTCCTTGTTAGAAATTTCAGGCCAAGCAAAAATAGGACTGGTGGTGGCTGAACGAGGAACTCAGTGGGGATTCAGGGAAAAAGCCCTCTTTTGCTGAAAGCCCCACACACCCATACCTGCCTACTGCTCAGGGTTTGGGGTTTAGGGTTTAGGGTTTAGGGTTTAGGGTTAGGGTTGAGGGTCCATCCCCTTGCCTGCAGAAAAAATAGAAGCCTAAACCCGAAACCCCTACAATCCCCCAAACCCTCTAAACCCCCCAAACCCTCTAAACCCCCCAAACCCTGTAAACCCCCAAACCCCGAAACCTTAAACCCTAATTTCCTAAACCCCTACAGCTAGAGCCCACTCCACAGAAAGGCCAACTGTTTGAAGGAGAAGGAAAGATGGCCCTCCCCACTCCGGCTTAGGGTTTTTGAGTTTAGGGTTTAGGGTGTAGGGCTTAGGGGTTAGGAATTCAGGGCTTGAAGGCTATGTAGAGGTGGGTCCTCAACAAAGCTTCCTGAGCCATTGTGTGCCCTTGTGGCCTAAAACCCTGGCAAATCCTCAACCCCACACCTCAAGCCCGAAGCCCCCAACCCCAAGCGACCAAGACTCGATTGTGTTTGTTGCTCGCCGAGGCTTTCTCGCAAGTGCCGGCTTTCCAGCTGAAGGACAGGCTTGGGGTTCAGAGTTCGAAGCCTCATGGTTTACATGGTCCCCAGAAAGACCAAAGGTCCCGGAAAACTTTGCCTGAAACTTCAGCCCTAAACCCAAAAAGGCTCCAAAGCCCCCCCCCCCCCTCCCGGTCACACCCAAAGGAGCCCCCCGGAAAGGCCCAGCGGGGAGGGCCAAAAGTGTGGTGGTCCCTGAGTAAACCCTAAACCCTAAACCCTAAACCCTAAACCCTAAACCCTAAACCCTAAACCCTAAACCCTAAACCCTAAACCCTAAACCCTAAACCCGACCCTAAACCCTGAACCCTGAACCCTGAACCCTGAACCCTGAACCCTAAACCCTAACCCCCCACCACTAAACCCTAACCCCTAAACCCTAAACCCTAAACCCTAAACCCTAAACCCTAAACCCTAAACCCTAAACCCTAAACCCTAAACCCTAAACCCTAAACCCTAAACCCTAAACCCTAAACCCTAAACCCAAACCCTAAACCTTACCTGCCTTCAAGTCTGAATGGGTTCGAAGTATGGGGTGCCTGGTTTGTATAGGGTATAGCAGGGTCCATATGGGTTCCGAAAGCCCGAAACCCTAAAGCTCTCAACCCCAAAACCCAAACCCCAAACCCTAAACCCTAAACCCTCAACCCTAAACCCGGGCTCCAGGACTGGGATGAGGAGGCACTCGACGAAGAGCAGAAGGACCTCAAGAATGCCCTGGAGGTGCAAGCTTCGGTTTCGGGGGGGGGGGGGGGGGTGGGTTTAGGGTTAGGGCCACAGCTTAGGTTCCGGGACCTTGGAGTTTTTTTTTTTTTTTTTTTTTTTTTTGGGGGGGGGGGGGGGGGGGGGTGAGGGCAGTTTGGGGGGTTTTGGGATTTGGGACGGTTTAGGGCGGTTTAGACGGGGGTTTAGGATTTATAGGGCTAGTTCAGCAGGGTTGTCATCGGGCGGTTCGGTCGATACCAATACTTGGAATCCTGGGTTTCTTAGAAGTAGTTAAGATAGTTGTGTGGAGTTATACCCTAATTACTAAGCGGTTATAAGTAAGTGCTAACAGTGTGTTAAGTGTTTATAAGCATGGATAAGACTTATAACTTTTGTGTCATGTTAGTAATGTTACGATCTTCTTAGCTATCTAACATAACTAAGTTAACTATTTATAAAAGTTAGGGTGAGTTAGATGGAGTTATCGACATGGACATATATATTTCTACAATAGGAGAATGAGACATGTCAAAGCTATTTTGCCATGACAATTATCATTTTGGCGACTGATGATCCATGGAACTGAAGGTCCATGCAACGGAGCGAAGGGCATCATTTTTGTTTTTTAACATTTCTTTTCAGAAACATATTGCATATTTCGGAAGAAAGCTATAGGCAGAACGAGTTATACATTTCTGAATATTGTAACTTTTTTTTGATTTCTCATATGATTGTTTGATATGTGATGTCACCATATACATGTGAATACGAGAGCCGCATGGCCATGCCACCGTGCCCATGTCATGCTTTTGCTAGGGTTTTCAAGCAGCCATCTGGCCCTGCCTTCGACATCCCAGATACCTGCCCAGATTTGCCAGCCGTGCAGCGATGGCGGAGATTTCCCATGTCGTCGCCATCCGTTACGGCCAGGAAAGCAAGGTGTTGATCCCAGAGGAGCTGCTCCACCACAAGAGCAACAAGTCATATGTCCAACTGCGGCCAACATCCCATCCCATCGTCCAGTTGCTGACAGGGCGACGAGGCCAGGTCAATGCCAGTCTTTCCAACTCGGGTGCCATGCAGAGCTTGGTCAAGAAAAGAAATGCCGAGTTTGACAAGCCGCCAGCTGATGGACCAGAGCAATTGTTCGAGGATGCCCCTAGCTCCAAGGCATCCAAGAAACGGGGGCCAGCCAGACCAAGTGGCGAGGATGTTGCCATCCAGGTGAGAGAGACCACCGTCCATTGCTTGATGCAGGGGAAGCGCCCCAGGGCCTCAGCCTTGACGGTGGAGTTGGAGGCCAACCAGCTGACGGCCATCATCGAAACCGTTCGTGAGGAAGACCTAGACCATGTACTCGGCCAAGCCAAGCGAAGCTACAAGAAGAAGCAGAGCCAGTAGCCAGTCTCAGGCCATGAGTATAGAAGGAGTTTTGATGATGTGACGGCCCTGGGAAGGAAAAACTGTGACAGTGCATGCTTGCAGGCTTGCTGTTGTTGAGTGTACACATGCCTGCATCGTCCCATTTATTTCCGCCAGAGCATGAGTTGCAACCGCTCAGCCCTTCTGGCTTTCCACACCAGGCTTCCAGAAGCACACTTTGCATCAGAGTCTCTTATAAGTATGCATGCAGTGCAGCAACTGCAGTTTCAAGCAGGCCTTAAATCCATCCCAGCACTGCAGTCAGGGCAGCAGTCCAGGATAGGAACCAGTGCTGTATCAGTTCGAAGCCATGGCTGTCCCTCCAGCTGTGATCCAAGAGGTCGAATCCATAGTGAATGGTGCGGAGCCAGTGAACACCAGGGTGACCAAGGTCTTGAAGGTGCTGGAAAGCCATGGGCTTTGCCAGACACAGTGCTTGCAGCCCAAGCAGGTGCTTTGCCACCCCTCCAACAGAGGAGGTCAGATGGTGAGCCATTTTGATGTTTGGGCCAAGGGGCACCAGTTGCTTGCCGTTGGACTGCAAGTCCAGCTGTTGGAAAACTCCATCTGCGTCCAGCTCGCCACAGATCCGCAGAAGCGCCAGCAGCAGGTGTGGAAAAACCAGCAGCTTGTCCAGGAAGCCGGAGGCTCCCTGGCACCAGTGAGTGGTCAGGAGGGCCACTCGGAGCTATATGATATTTGTTTTTTGGTGTGTTTGTGCTTAGAGCAAGGTTTTAAGTGAATAAGTTCAGTTATTTCATTCCGTGCTTGCCATGCAGCAAGACTGAGGCTTTCTGAGCCTAGCCTCCAGCCACACCACGGCATTTCTCAGATGCCTCGAGCATGGCTGCCAAGATGCCAATGGCAAAGCCATCAGCGTGCCCAGAACGGATCCAGTTTGGGAAGCCATCCAGAAGGGCTGGAAGTGGCACGTTGTTGCCTCCTCCGTGGAAAGCCATGCCAACCTTGCCACAGTTCTTCCAGGTCGGTGCCAACAGTGGCAACGCCATTGGCAGGGCCACCAGCGAGCTGGAGGCAGCCTGCCAGATCGCAGCCCAACTCCAGCTTTGGAGGCCGCCATCAAGCAGGTGGCAAGCGGGGAGGTGGCCTGCAGAGCCAGTTTGGCCAGTATAGGCCATTATGTGTCGAGGTATGGCGGGGGCCCAGGGGCGCCGCTGCTCCGATTCCTCTCCCAATTCGGGTCCATGTTCGGTGCGACACTCATGTTAGGCACAGACTTTACCGACACTCTTGCCAACATGACTTTTCCAGAGGCGACCAACCTCTTTCCGCTGACCCGGACGGCCGTCTGGGCGAGCCAATTGACTTCCCAGAAAAGCAATGATGGGTTTGCAAGGTTGTTGGTGAGGTCGGACTTGCAAAAACTTTCCACGCCATCCATCCTGGACCAAGTGAAGGCCGGGGAGTCCATGCTGGCGGACTGCTGGCACCTTATCCAGTCCCAGCTGCCCGCCGCCACTGCTGAGAACCACAAGAAGACCCTCCATCTGTACAGATGCTTTGGCAAGCTCTGTGTGAGGACCATCCTCTTCATCGTGAAGAAGCAGAAGCATGCCCCAGACCAGGTGTGCTTCGACACCTTGCCAGAGATCCTGGACAAGTTCACACAGGAGGTGTCGGGTGTGCCCACTCCAAGCCAGGCGGCCTCCAGTCAGGCAGGCCAGGTTGAGGATGCGGTGAAGGCCCAGCCGTACCAGGCCATGCTGCTGCAGAACAGCCACATCAAGGTGGGCGAGCTGTGTCTTAGTTGCAAGTCTTCTGCTTGTGCATTCCGTTTGGTGTTTTAAATCTTGTTGCCATTTGGGAGCCAAGGTTCTGCCTTCCCAAAGAGCATGGGTCCAAGGTCTTCGAGCTCTTGGAGGTGACCAACGACGGGGCCACCATGCAGCATCGTCCCATTCTGTTGCCAGTACAGAATGTGCAAGTTGCCTTGGGCGACTTGAAGAAGTGGAGGGTGTCCAAGCAGCGGATGCCTTTCCTGGCAGAAGAGGCCATGGTGGCCAAGGCTTTCCCCACAGAGCATGCCATGGCTGTGGAAGAGTTCCAGAAAGCCCAAGTGGTCTGTGCCTTGCACGAAGCTTACCAGAAGCACTCCTGCCAGGACCAGGAGCTGCTCGGCTTCGCTTGCAGCCCCCAGGCACTGTTTGCCAGGCAGACCCTCCAGCCCAAGAAGCTCAAGCTGCTTCCCATAGGCCCTGTCTCCAAGGTCAAAGAGCCGGGGAAGGCCAGGTTGGTCGTCCATGCGTTCGGAGAGAAATGGTCCATTGGCAGCTGGAAACAAGATGTGGACCAGCATGGGGTGGCGGTCCCGTGGTTCTGGTGCAAGCCAGTAGATGCTCCACTTGCCAACATGCAGTGGACCACTGTGAAGCAGGGACCAGCCACCATTCCCATGCTTCAGAACCACGTCCGCATTCCAGGCAAAAGCATGATTTTGTGCGAGAACCAGCTCGAGGAGCCAGCAGAATCGGCCAAGAAGAAAGCCAAGACCAAGTGAGTGGTGCATTTCCAGAGCAGCCACTGCAGCCAGAGCATTGAGGGCCACTGAGCCGGAGCCATCTTTGCACAGGAGCTGCAAGAGGAGTTTTGATGGCTCAAGTTTTGCCAGGCAGGAAAAACTGGAGCTCTGCAGGGTTGCACTCCAGGATTTGGGTTAAGGACCCACATGCAGCTGCCTGCAGCTCAATGGCTATGCCACATTGTCGGACTCCTGCCATGTTTCTCTCGTCTTTGTAGCATGCCACGGCGCCCGACAACCTGCAGTTTTTCAGCCCAAGCCAGTTGGCAAGACACTCCAAGCCACTTGGCCAGCAACTTCCAAGCCACTGCCATGGCCAACCAGCAGGACGTTGTTTTGCTTCTTTCTGTATACTTATGCATTACAAATCTGCATGTCTTTGCCAGGAGCAGACCCCAGCCATGGAGGAGGTGGCCGTGACGGGTGCCACAGAGGCCACAGAGGTCCAGGCCACAGTCCAGGGGGAGGTGAGCACTACGGCTCTGCCTGCCCAAGTGGGTGGGATCGTGGGCCCCATCTCCTTCCACTTGAGCAACCAGTTCATGCAATCCAGACTTCAGCCTCCCTGACCCGCTCTACCACTGGGCCATTCGCTGCATGTTCTGCACCCCGGCTTCCTGCCAACTTCAGGATGGGCCACATGGATGAGTTCCATGCCGGCGGCTTTGTTTATCCCAAGAGGCTTGCCAGGGAACGTGATCCAGCCCGAAAAGACTTTCATCCAGAATGTTATGTTGCCCTTGTCGGCCACGTGCACCCTGGCAGCCACGGGCCACAACTGTGTCACAACTCCAGCAATCCCAGGGCAGCCAGAGACAGCGGCCACGTTGTCAGGAATCTGTTCCACTGCAGACTCTTCCACTAAGGCGGTGTTGAGCATGCAGGGTTTTGGTCCATGTTGCATGAAGCCTTCTTGGCTATACCAGTTCAGGTCAGCATGCAAGCCATTTGGCTTTTCCAGGATTTGTTTATAGAGAAAGATACCACGTTGCCAGGAATCTCTTCGCACTGCAGACTCTTCCACTGCGGCGAGGTTGAGCATACAGGGTTTTGGTCC